AATCTGACTCCATGATTTCCTGATTCGTTAAGTAGTTTCATTGTCCAACTAAATTTAATCAAGTATTTTGTCTCCATTCTTCCTTACTTTGGGCTTTTATTTGTCTTGTGTTTTGCAGCTTTTCTTTTAACTCAACCAACGTAAGCACGAATCATTAATTTTAACCTCCATTTTTCCCTTTCTTTTTTTTCCCCTTCTTTCTCAATCATATATTTTTCGTCTCATTAAAAATTTACTTCAGACCTTGTATTTATTAATCGTTGAGTCTTCCATTTTATTCTCTTTCCCCTATGCCAATATTTTTTATACATTTTTTTTGTTTATTCCTGTCATCGAGTACGATGGTTGTTTTACATTAGCAAATGAAAACGTATTTCCATAGGGTTGTGGTTAACAAGCTTGTATCACGGACAATGATTATCATAGTGAGTAACTGAGTTAAATCTTCTCCAAAGAGAAACCATTGAATATTAAATCAACGACCAATCATTCGTCGTTGTTCACAAAAACAACAATAAACGTGTATTACAAAAACGATTCTATACATGATTTGTGTTCGTCATTTGGCTAATGACCATGGGACTTTGTTGTTGCTTTACTTAGGTCGTCAGTTTTTGCTCTATCGGAAAGTATATATATATATATATATATATATATATATATATATATATATATATATATATAATTAATGATAAATTAATTTACTATATATATAATAAATTAACTGATTTAAAAATATGGTTCCTTCGCTACACAGAAATTACCATGTTTCAAAAACCGAAGCTAAAAACTTCTAATTTAATTATATAATTAAATTAAAAGCATTAGTTCTGTTTCATCTTCGGGCAAATTTGGGAAATTTTCCAATATTCGCTTGAACATGAAAGAGAGCTTCGGTTTTCGAAACATGGTAATTCCTGTGTAGGGAAGGAACCATATTTTCAAATCAGTTAATTTATAATATTTATGCTCTGTAAATTTACATTGAACATTGTTTTGTAAAAATAAAAATATCAATAAGAACACCGGATTATATATCTTATTGTTCTCTCTCTCTCTCTCTCTCTCTCTCTCTCTCTATATATATATATATATATATATATATATATATATAGTGTATTTGGATAGCAATCCCTCTTTTATAAAAGTTGTATTAAAGACGACTGACAAGGTACCGCAGTTAAGCTTTTTATTTAATTTTTCTTGTGTTCGTTTAAGGTTTTTTTCTTTTCTGGATATAAAGTGTGTAAAAATTGTCCGAATGTTCGGTATATCCGAGTGCTTTTGGTTAATCTTTTAGCCATTTGATAATGGCTAAAACATTAGCCGAAAGATGCTTTTTTATTTTTATTTTTAAGAATGTCTAGAGTTTTATGCATGAGTCTAGACTTATGAGAATGTATTTTTTTTCTAAATACGGTCAACATATTGTGACCATGTTCATAGTTGATGTTATTGAGTGTTGGATTTTTCATTTTTTATTTTCAATGCTAATTATTTTTAGCGTTTTGTTTAGAAAAAATAAATTAAAAGCTTAACCGCAGTACCTTGCCATACGTCTTTAATGAAACTGGTATAAAATAGGGGTTGCTTTTTATTACCTACCGACCTATACACGACTCTCCCTTTCCCGTCGAATTCGACGTATGAGGGTCAAGCAGATCAGTTCCTATGAAACCAACAGCCGACAACAGCACACCGACCTATATATATATATATATATATATATAGAGAGAGAGAGAGAGAGAGAGAGTGTATCAAAAATACTTTTACAAAGTTTGCGGGCGGGTTCCTCACACCAAAACAAGGATATCGCTTGAAAATCAACCAGAAATAAAGATTTTAAATTTGATTCTATAATTAAAGGTTTAGTTACTGTTTTAGAAACATGTTAATTCCTGTGTAGCGATAGAACCATATTTGTAAATTAGTAAATTTATAATATATATATATATATATATATATATATATATATATATATATATTTATATTTTAGTGTGTTCCCCCCTCTTTTTGCTCTTCATTGTCGTTAATATTCTTTTCGTTGATCCAACGATTGTCTCCTGATGAGATGTTGACTGAAAGGGCCCTAGAAACTTTTAAAATTAAAATCAATACATTCCTTGTTTTTAAACTATAACTATAACTATATATATATATATATATATATATATATATATATATATATATATATATATATATACTGAAAAGGTTAATGGTCAGACTTTGATAAGACCACGAAACAGTAGTATTAAAAAGTGCTCAATACATGAGTGAAAAATAAAAATAAAAATAAAAAATTAACATGTAGATCTTTATAATTCAAAAATTAAGAGAACAGTCGATTCCGCTACCTTGGATTTTACCTTTTAGTATTGTCTGGCGGTTTGTATCAGTTGATTTCGCAACGCTTTATTTTAAAATTTAATGAACGCTATATTATTTTAAAAAATAAATAAACAAACGCACGGCGTTGGGTATGATAGGAAGTGAGAAGGAGGACGTGAAGAAGAATGGGAAGGAGGAAAAACGAAAGGGTAGAGTAAATGTATCGATGGGGGAAATTTTTTGTATGAATGCAACAGCTCATAATCTCAGGCCTTTAATTTAAAATATATTTTTGGATGAGGGAATGTCATTATTGATATCTTTTCTTGTTGGCAGAGGTTGCAGATGTTATTATGGTTGCTGTATATACGGATTATTCTCCCGTCGTTTTTTGACGTATGAAGATCGAGCAGGTTAGTTCTTAGAACCGAATAGCCAGACTACCCACACATACAATTTAATTATAGTGGTGAAGGCTTTGTGCAGAACCAGACACATTTTTATGAAGAACCAAATGCAAATAAATTTATTCTTTCGTATTTAAAGATATATTTGTGTAATTTTGGTAAATATATATGTTAAAATGTTTCACTGTTGCGTAATTTAGACAATTTATCTATCGCACCCTATATATATATATATATATATATATATATATATATATATATATATATATATATATAGGCTTTGTGCAGAACCAACCACACTATTTGGAAGTGCTGCATACTGAGGTTTTGAATTCAGAATTGTAAACCGGTAGCCACACAATGTTTTAGAACCCAGTGTGTGTGCTGCTATTTAACCATAGTTGTGGGGAGAAGAGATAGTTTCATGCCTTTCCCAAGGGTTTTTACACGTAAGAGAATGTAACGAATGACATTTTATTATGATGACCTCTTTTGCTGGTGTCCACCAGTGCTTCTCATAAGGTATTTCACTCAGAGTTACCGACCTATTCGAAGTTTTATATTTATCCTTAACTACATCAGTATATGTTTGTTTATAACTTGAGTCTTTTTAGAGTCTGTCGTATTCTAGTATAAGCATTACTTTAGATTTCTTTTTTTTGGGGCGAGGGCACCTCGAGGCGGTGTAATGGTTAGCAAACTTGTCTCGCTAGAACAATTACGACTGATTAGTGAATTCAATCCTAACTGGGTACCGCCTACATTCGGCCTTGTGCCACATTTAAGCTACGCTTGGAAAAACACTAAATTTCTTTACTTTTAGAAATTTTACCTTTAGCTTTATAACTGGGAGGAATGGCAAGCAGTCAATTATGTGCCATGCGGGATACACGCTTAGGCGATCATGTATCTTTCGATACATGACTAACGAGGCAGATTTTTTTCCCGAAGTAGGTTGCCATTTCTTTTTGCAGTAGACAAGTTGCCATCCAAGAACCTGTCCTGCTATTTACCCTTATGTGGGGGAGAAGGTTAGTAGCACGTAAGTGAATGTAATGGATTCGACTGGAATTCGAACTCGGCTCTCCGATTCCTCAATCCAGGCCGCTATCCTTTACTCCACTGTGCCATAGCGTGTAACAAAGGATTTTTAAATCTTTTAATAATACTTTTATATTCTAATATAAATATATAATTTCATTCTCTTTGATTTTTTGGTAGCCTGTTTGGTTTTTAATGCATTTTCCTGGTCTTTGCCATGTTCATAAGCATATCGAATATTCCTGGAACCAGGTTTTGGTTATTACTTTATTGTTGGCAGTGTACCAGTGGAACCATTTTCCTCCGCATGTGTTGCTCGATCCAAGTAAATACTTGCCGACTATTTTATAACCTTGTCCTTTCCTACGTTTGCACTTAGATCCCCCTTAATAATAATAATAATAATCTCCGATATGCATTGACTTTTGGTGTTGTAACATTTATCTATTTCTTCTGTGCTTTGTGACGATGATGCATCAACTACTGTAATGGCTAGTGTGAATGTTTCTCTTATCATTTTTATTAGAAATCTTACATTTATCAGTATCCCAGCACACATTTCATCTTGTATTAATATAATATTAGTCCTACTCCTTTTTCACGTAGAACCACCTCTTCATTGCTGGTGTTCCCAGGTCCACCCTGACCCGGGGTGGTAGCACCTGTTAGGGTCCCAGCTATGGGCAAATAATTACCAACCAAACTGGGGTCAAAACATTATGAAAGTGTAAAAATAGGTTTTAATAACAAAAATACATTGTAAAAATTTTTTTACCAGCAATTCATTTTTGAAAAAAAATATTACTAGCCATAAATTTTTTTGAAAAAAAAAAAATTACAATATACATATCTTTGGAAAGAAATATTACCAAAAATAGATGTTTTGAAGGAAAAAATATTACCAACAATAAAAATTTTATTTACATTATTCGAACTCTTGTCCTCATCTTTGTCGCCATGTTTATCACAACGTTTCGGCCGTTGTACTCTCCGGCCTTCTTCGGGTGGTTGGAATGTCGAACTGAACCCTTTATTTCACTCACTGGGGTAGACTGTTCTAGTTCCACGTGCCATGTCTAATGGATGTCAGTTATCTCCTGTAGCGTACAGTGAGACACTAACTGTATAAGAGTATCAAACGCTGTATAGGCATTGTCTTCACTTCTGGAAAGAGATAAAAATTCTAAAAACTCAACTTGGTTTTCGTATTTGGGTAGAGGAAACAACATCTGTGTTTCTGTTTAGAAAGAGAAACATCTTCAATTTGGCTAGCCATTGTCGTCCTGTCAGGGAAGAGAAAAAGACGACCAGGGTAGCAATTGTCTTCCTGCCTACGAAGAGGGGGAAGCAACTTGGATAACAATTAATTTTCTGTTTAGGAAAACGTAAATCCTCATTTGTTTTAATGTCTTGGAAGAGATTAACTCCTATTTAGATAGCATTTTCCTTCTTGGAAAAGGGAGTTTCTCCTCTCAGTAGGGAAAAGGAAAGTCCTGATTTAGGCAGTAATTGCTTTTCTGTCTGGGAATAGAAAAAAACTTGATTCGAGTAGCAGTTACTTCATTTTGTAAGGAAAAAAAAATCTTGAACTCAGGTAGCAACTGTCTTTCGAATTTGGAGAATATTTTGAGATGTTCGAAATTTAAAAAGACTACAAAAAACAACGCTCTGTTATCTGTATCTATAAAAGGCAGGATGTGTGTGTGTGTGTGTGTGTGTGTAACGCATGCACGGCCGCAATTTTCGACGGATTTGCACCAAAATTTAGATGCACATGCTCCAAGTGGGAAGGCCAAGACCGACTTTGCATTTCCCAACTCCCATCAATAGTGGAAATAATCGATTTTTTCATGTTTCTACGGCAGTTTTCATGTAGTTTGCGGACATTTTCTACTGGCCAGAGTGAGAGCCTATAGCTGGCTGCCACGAATCGGCAGAAAGATTTTATCGACCAGCGTGAGAGCCAACAGCTGACTGACACGAATGTTAACTTGCATGCTAGCATGCAAAAAAAATAAAAAATAAAATCGATAGCTGCATTCATCACAGGTAGGAAAAATTTAAATCTACATTGCACTTTACTCCAATTGGCTCATTCGCTTGCTTAAACTCAACGTTGATTCTGATTCCGCAGAACTGGGTTGGGTGTGAAAAAGTATTTGTTGTTAACATTCTTTTTTCATTCGGTTTTTCCAGTTACGAGTCCTTTTTTTTAAAGCTGATCGTTTTGTGTTCATTTTGTTTAGTTCTTTTTTCGTAACAGATTTAATGTTTAGTATAGAGCTTAGAAAAAATTCGCAGTGTGAGATAGGCAAGAAGTAAGGCATGTAGCAACATCAGCACGGAAAAGGGCACTGCTTTAAAGGCAAGGTAGCGCAAAAATATTTTAAGTCAAGCGATAGCGATTGCTGTATGAGTCGTACGATTTTTTTGAAACAAGCACGGGCAATTGTCTTCTTACCTGCGACGAAGGGAAAGTAAATTTGGGTGCAATTGTTTTTTCTGTTTGGAATGAAGAAAATCTTCAACTTTTCTTCCTGTATATGAAGAGAAGTACTCGACTTCAGTAGGGTTAAAAGCTAATTGGATATAAATGACCTTCTTGTTTGTGAAGCAAAACAAAATCCTCAACTCGGATAGCATTGTCATCGTGCCTGAAAAGCGCAAAACCCGACTCGGGTAGCAGTTGTCTTCCTATCTTGGAAGAGAGAAAAGCAACTTTGATAGTAAATTGTCTTTCTGTTTGGGAATCGGAAAATCCTCAACCAGGATAGCCATTGTCTTCCTATCGGGAAAAGAACAATCTGACTTGGGTAGGAATTGTCTTCGTAATTGGAATGAGGGGAAAAACAACGTGCAGCAACATTGTCTCTCTTTTTGGGGATGAAGGAAATCCTCAAGCCAGCTAGCCATTGTCTCTCTCTCACTCATATCCCTAATGAATATTTCCGTCCTGAGTATGACGATAAACTACATCAGCGTCCTGGGCAAGGCCTCGGATCAGGAGGTTTTGAGGAGCGTGGAACCACCTCTTAATTGCTGGTGTTCCCAGGTCCACCCTGACTCGGGGTGGTAGCACCTGTTAGGGTCCCAGCTATGGGCAAATAGTTAACACCCAAAATTGTGTAAAAATAAGTTTTAATACCAGAAATACTTTGTCATAAAAAAATTATTACCAGCAATAATTTTGGAAGGAAAAATTCTTATCAGCAATACTTTAAAAACATAGCAGTAATACTTTAAGAACATACCAGCAATGCAAACAGCTATATATTCTCTGGAAAAAATATGACCAGCTATAGATTTATTCAAGGAAAAATATTCCTAGAAATAGATTTTTGAAGAAAAACATTACTAGCAATAAAAATTTTGTCGGCATTAAATAACCCATTGATTTTGATATGCCGCAAAACAAAACAAACTAATGAATATTTCCCAACATTTACCAAATATATCGTGCATGTATCAATATATATATATATATATATATATATATATATATATATATATATATATGTGTGTGCATAGTCTTATGGACACATCACGTTGAAAGAAGGAAGAATTAAACAGCTTTTCTAATACCAGATGCTATAACCTGGTATGTACTGATAAGGTTTTCGGAATTGGAAATCGAAGAGCGAGTTCAATTCAGTATATATATATATATATATATATATATATATATATATATATATATATATATATATACCCAAATATAGGATTGGTGTATATGGAATAAATTCCAATAGCCAAAAAATGATATTCTTAAAAGAGAGAATAAATAAATACTATAAATATATATATACAGAGAAATAAATAAATTATATATATATATATATATATATATATATATATATATATATATATATATATATATATATATATATATAACTACACTCGTCTCAGAAAATCTTCAGTTTCTTGATTTGCTAATGATCAAATCAGTTTCGAAGGAAAAAAAAAGGTTTAAAAAAAAAAAAAGTGGTATGAACATGAACGTCTGTCGAAAATAATCGTACAGCATACAGGTCCAAAGCCCAAAGAAAAAAAACCCGATACGAGTAATCAACTAACTAAAAAAGTGCTATATATATATATATATATATATATATATATATATATAGAGAGAGAGAGAGAGAGAGAAATTGATTAATTTGTTTTTACGGTTTATCACCCTTTTGCTTGTTATTTAAAGATATTATATAAAATATTTTTAGATTGTAAGAATCTTTTTTAGATAATAATGATTTTACTGAATTACTATTTAACCTGAGTCTGCGAGGAGAAGAGGCGGATTTATACCTTACCAGAGGAAATTTCCATGTAAGTGAATATAAATTGTATATAATAAGTGAATTAAAAGTACTGATAATGATTTTCTTTAGAGGGTGTCATAGTTTATTATAAAATTAAGTGCATTTTTATTTTAACATAAATCCAAATGATATTGGACATAGAAACGAACTTGTTGACTGACACCGTCTTCCTTACACCATAAAACGCATTCATTTTAATATTATGTATTCGTAATGGAATCTTGAGAGTCTATAAAGTCACTGTTTATATTAACCTTTCTATTTAGCATTACTTGCCTATTCCAAGATATTTTTGTTTATTTTTTCATTCTATTATGATAGAACGTAAATTTCATATTGGATTAATAATATCTAGGAAAGGCCGAGTTCTATTACATTAATTTGGAGTCCTTGAGAACTTTTTTGGGCAACAGTCGACTTTCAGTCAGTTGTGTGCTATGCTTGATACACGCTTAGGCGATCATGTATCTTTCGATACATGACTGACGAGGCAGATTTTTCCCCGAAGTAGTTTGCCATTTCTTTCTGCAGTAGACCAGTTGCCATCCAAGGCTATAGAACCCGGCCTGCCCTGCTATTTACCCATAGCTGAAGGAAGAAGAAGAAGATGATTCATACCTTTCCCAAAGGTATTAGCATGTAAGTGAATCTAATGGATTTGACTGGAATTCGAACTCGGCTCTCTGTTTCCTCAATCAGAGCCGCTTCACCGTGCCTCCAGTCGACTTGACAGAACGCAAAGAAACACGTTATCTTGCATGACTATACTCTTTAGCTTAAAGCGTTTTGGTTTTCATTCATATAACAAAGAAAAAAAAGAAAAACTTCAAGAATTGTGAAGCTAAAGCGATGTCAAATCGACAGGGAAAGTCCCACGAGAAAAGCATTTTAACTTGCAGCCTTAAAGTGATGACGTTGTCTTCGGTTTTATCCGAAGCAGATTTATGAGCCATCTCATGGAGAGGGTAGCAGACATTCATCAATCAGCAGCCATGAGCTGTGAATCGATTTCCGTTTCCTTCTCAACCGGAGAATGGTAAACACGGTCAAATACGCCGGCAGCAAATCAATTAATCATCGGCCTTAATGAGAAACAAAAGTAAATTTCGCCCAATTAAGATATGTTATCATTTATAAACAGTCCAACACACCTTCTCACTTCCTGATAAATGTATTCGTGAATGTGTTTAGAATAAACTTCACAGTTTATAGGCTTAATGCTACATAGGCTGGAATCCGAATGTAGGCAAGACCTGCCGTCTGCGGTGAGGGCGATGAGTAAAGTGGAGGTGTTAAGGGGCGGTTAAAATAAAGGGGGTCAGTATTTGGTGCGGTAGTGGGGGCATTGAAACCAAGTAATAATGTTCTCTATTTATTTTTCATTATATTTAATATTGCGGCTTTTCAGTGCAGCTTCATCTAAGTAAAGAAACAGACTGATGATTGCTACTGAACTCTGGGGTTTAAGATTTCTTTTCAATGTTTAATGTTTAGAAGCTTATATGCCTTCACCGAATACATTGATCCCATGAAATCCTTCCATATTTCTAAACCAACTAAATTGGTTTATTTGGTTAACTTTCTTTTGAAGATGTTCATATGTGTTTACACTGTTAGATTGTTTTGGATTTACAATGTAACAAATACCAAGAAAGAAGTGCTTTCGTAATGATACAGAAGAGGGGGGCTTGGTTTTTTTTTAATCATTTCAACCCAAGCAAAGCAATAAAGCCGCTAAGACGCAAAGGGTTACTGAGGGGCTAGACAATATAAGAAAAAATAAAACACTATTAATGAGAGAGAACAATTAAAGAACAGGATCGTAATAAATGTCTACAATAACACACACACAAACACACACACACACAAACACACACACACAAACACACACAAACACACACACACACACAAACACACACACACAAATACACACACATATATATATATATAGTGTATTTGGCCAGCAAGTTTCATTAAAGACGTCTGGCAAGGTACTGCGATTAAGCTTTTTATTTCATTTTTCTAAAAAAAAAAACGCTAATAATAATGGAATCATTGATAATAAAAAATGAAAAAGCCAACACTCAATAACGTCAACTATGAACACAGCCACAATGTGTTGACCGTGTTTAGAAAAACACATTCTCATAACTCTAGACTCATGCATAAAACTCTACACATTCAGTTAAAAATAAAGAAAAATACCACCTTTCAGCTAACGTTTTAGCCATTATCAAATGGCTAAAAGATTAACCGAAAGCACTCGGATATACAGAACATTCGGATAATTTTTACACACTTTATGTCCACAAAGTATATATATATATATATATATACCTACGTCTGTAGTGCAACTTAAAGATTCATGGTTTTCCAAGTCGTCAGGCACGAAGTGGTGAATGAAAGGCTTATTACAGTTGTTTTTTTCTTTTAAACACAGGGTCTCATGGAAGGAACGGTAAATTAAAAGCAGATTGAAACCTCAAAGTTCATATAAACTTAATATGTTATTGAGGTGTAAATTCAAAATGTAGAGTGCAGGTAGGGGCGGCTATTGCAAAAGGAAAAACAGAAAGATGCAAACTTAGTTTAAATAAGAGGAACGTCGTGTGCACTCCTTGCGTATTTAAACTTTAAGCTTGCGTCTTTTTGGATCAGCACTTTTACCTCTAAATATAATATACCTTAGAACTATATTTTTAAAGCAATAATTGTGTATAAATGAAAAATCATTATAATAATTAGATATAAAGCTATTGTATAAAAACAATATATAATAACTAAAGCAAATTATATGTGCATGACACCATGAGAAAAGAGTTTGTTCGTTAGCAACACAGGCTGTGATGAGTTGAGTCCACACTGAATACGTCACACCTGTATTTTGTACCAGTTTCAACTGATCTTAATACATTCCTACAATAATATAAAACATTATTATAAATGATCATGGCTCTCTACGGATTCCGTTTCTTTATTATTTGGGAATTGCCATGGTTTTTTGAGAAAGATTGTGGAGTGGTTTCTCGTTGTCCCATAATAAATATTGCAATTGTAACATATAAAATAAAACTAAACATAATGAACATAAAATTGTTTATTTAATATTTGTTCTGAGAAACGTTTAAATAATTAATTGACACTTAAAGGTATTTTAGCGTTTGAAGTTGCGCCAGGGTTAAAGTTAATGGTTGATAAACAATTTTTACGTCCATAAAGTATCGTTAGAGACAGAGAAAAGAATGGTGAGCTGCAATGTAAGATCAATCCTACTTTAGGGCAGAACAATTCTCTCACAAATGAATTGGAAATTTGAGGCAACAGAAATCTAGTTCTACAGAAAGATGCTGAGAATGGACAGTACATGTGAACAACGAAGCAATTTTAAGAAAAATGGAAACGAAAAGAAAACTTAGAATTTTTTTTTTAATCATTTCACCGTAAGCAAGGCAATTAAGCCACTAAGAAGGAAGTCGGGGTTACTGAGTGTGAGAGAATATGAAAAAAAGAAAAAGAAAACATTGTTAAAGAACGAAAAGAATAAAAGAACAGAGATAAAAAAAAACATAGAGAGAACGAGAACAAGAGAAGATTGACATTGCATTTCAATTTTTGAAGATCAAAATTGACTCGAAAGCAAGAAGCCCGGAGAGAATTCCACAAGGGGGAAAGGTGACCAACTTTCCCAAAATTTGCTAGATGATCAGAAACTATCTTGTAATTCCTTCTTGATTGGGCTGAAAACTTTTCCACTTCATTTTGAGCAATGTCTGTTCAGTTGTTATTTTTTATAAGCATTTCAACTCCAAACAAGGTGGGGTTATCACTAGTACGCAACGGGTCACAGAGAGTGAAAAAGTGAGAAAAGACTAGGAGATTTGAGCAAAAGATGAAAAGAAGAACGGGGATCAAGGCAAAAGAAGATGTCGATTGACATTACATTTAAATTTTTGAAGATTATAGTTATCAGGGAAGCATTTAAGAGGAAGAGAGTGTGAGAGAAGCTGCTGTTGGAGTAGAAGATACGTATACATTTAACTGTGTCGACAGGGGTAGGACCGACATTCAACCCTAGTAGCACGCTTAAATTCATGCAGTCAGGCCAACAGTGAAAACAGCTCGTCAGAACAGTTGCCATGAAAATATTTGTAGAAAAGACAGAGGGAAGTCACATCACGTCTGTGAGAAAGTGACTGAAGTCGAGACCCCAAGTCAGGATCGATCACTTTACATATCCGTCTTTGGATTTTGTCGAACCTCGTGATGAACAGCGGAGGCATCAGACCATATATGGCAACAATATCCCCTGCATGGAGGAATGGTAGATTTGTAGATGTGAAGGATGGATTCAGATAAGAAAAACCAATTTTCTTTGCGGTAGATGAAGCTATTAATTCAATGTAGTTGTTCCGCCTCAGGTCAGTGGAAAATGTGAGACCAAGAAGCCGCAGAGAGACATTTTCGTGAAACTGAGCATCAACCATGCTGATGGAAGACAGGGAAGTTTCTCTATGGTGGGTAAATAAGTTTCGATTTGGATGCATTAAAATTTACAAGTCATTTTTGGCCCTAGGTAACCACAGATTGGGAGTTCTTTTCGAGATCAACGGTCAGGTTAACTTTGTCAGCAATGCCGGGGATACTATTGAGACAGGAGTAAATGGTAGTGTTGTCTGCATAGATGCTTACTTGAGAACTGGTGACATCAGGAAGATCATTGATGAAGATCAGAAGCAGTGTAAGCCAAAGGATAGAGGCTTGGGGGGAACACCAGCTTTGGTATGAAAGGAACTGGAAGAGAACCCGTTCAGAACGACCTTCATTTCACGGTTTGACAGGAACGATTGGATTAAATCAAGTAATCTTTCTGTAATACCTTATCCCTGAAGATTACGTAGAAGGCTGGCATGCTAAACCTTGTCAAACGCCTTCGATATATCTAGATCGACAGCACGAGCTTCGTCGTTATTAAAAAGAACTTGGTATCCATATTCAGTTATGGCCGTAAGCACATCAGCAGTTGACCGGGCAAAGCGGAAACCGTATTTTTGTCAGAGAGTAGATTGTGGGAGGTAAGATGCTTAACCACTGCGGCATTGATTAAAGCGGCGAAGACTTTGTCGAAGAGTGGTGGGAGACTGACAGGACGGTAGTTAGATGGGTGAAAAGGGTCTCCAGATTTATTAAATGCAGGAACAACAGAGGACAACTTCAGGCTGGAAAGCAAGAATCAACGAGGTAATAGTAGAGTTTGGAGAGAACTAGGACCAGCTCAGGAGCACATTTCTTTAGGACTACGGCTGGTATTCCGTCAGAACCACTTGCTCTAATTTAGAGATCATGTTTAAGACCATCGTCGGGGTTATACACATCTCACTCAGTAGAGCCTCAGTTATAGGAGTGGGGGAAATCAGGTGTGGGTACCCTGGATGAGTCGAGTGTTGAGTTGCACGAGAATTTCCGAGCAAAGCATACAGCTTTATCAGCTGAGAATGTTAGTATTTCAAATTGATTGGATAAAGAAAGGATTGAGGATTTGCTGTTTTTGATCACACTCTTGCGGAGACGTCAATAATCATGTTGGTCTCCATGGAGAACCATTGCTATTTCATTGCAGGAAGATTCATTAAACCGTCCCGGATACTGTCCAATATATCACTTGTCTGCATCAATGATTACATTAAAGTTATAAGTAGGAGCACTTTCCAGAGGACATTTAAATCTCTTAACATAGCTATTTCTACAATGTATCATCTCTTGAAATCTCAGTGTAAGCTCGAAATAGAATTACGCCTGGCCGCTTCTTGGAAGTTGCCAACAAAATATAACTGAATAAATTGTGGCCGTGAGGATCCAATCCTATGATACACCTGACCCTGCACTTTAAAAGTGGACGAGAAACCACTTTCCCTGATAATTTTAGCCCCGAATGAAGTCACTTGAAAAACACAATTGTACTTCCAAATGTTTTCTAAAAAGGGTTTTGATTCTTGAGTGCTGCCTGAAAGAATAAGCTTCAAAGCCTATGGCGGATCTTCCAATAATGGAATCTTGACTTGGCCATTCGAATAACACATTCCAGGAGTTTCTCCTTTAAACTTCTTGGCTTGGCATTTACCACAGATTTTAGACAGAGTCTATTGTCACTTTCTTTTCAGAAGCGGAGTCATGCTCCGGCTGACAGTTAAAAGTAGCACGGTGCCACCGTTCCCAGGTAGGAATAACTCTTCTCTGTCCCCTAGTTCTGCGAAACTGCTGTCTTTCTTGCCTTTGTTCAGGAGTCTCAGCTGCTCCATGAACAATCGTCCGGGTTCTCTCAGTTTGTTGTCATTCATGTCTTTGCTTAAGAGTCTCAACTGCCCTGCTAGCAGCCTTTTCGAAGCCTGAAATCTCTCCTATCTTTGCTCAAGAGCTTCAGCTGCTCTGCGTGCAGCGGACCTAGCTCTGGCTACCCTAAGCCTTTCCTATCTTTGCCCAGGAGTTTCAGCTGTTCTACGAGCAGCAGACCTAATTCCTTCTTCTGAAGCCTATCCCGTCTCTGATCTTCTACAACCGTCCTTTCTTTCGGCTTACAGTCTTTCTTCCCTTTATTCCGATGTTTCAACTGCCTTATGTAAAGAATTCTATGCACTTTGGGTCTGCAGATATGTTTCTGTCAGTGTTCCGGTATCCTTCATAGCTCTTCTTGGAGAACCCCTTGTATTTTCTTTCTTTTTAGTTGATAAAAGTCTTGTTTGATGTTGTTCTATAGTAGCGTCAGACTTCAGTCTTAAAATGAATATTTGGCTTACCCACGTCAAGAAGATTAATGATAGATGTTAATGACAAGGAATACTTAGCTTTCTTGGATTGTTGAAATAAAGTTCTTTGAAATGCCAAGCGCTTTGTTAAGGCCGATGATATAATTTGATACTGACGCGTGAACAGAAATTAAACATTTCATATGACTTCGGAGGATCTTCTCTTGTTGATTTTATTTTTCTCCTTATTTTATATAAAAAAAGATTTCGCATAGGATCGCTATTTTCTTTTCTTTCTTTTTCTAGGCTCCACAGCTAATTCATGTAATGCAAAAAAAAAAAAAACAAAAAACAAAAAAAAAACAAAAAAAAAAAAAAACCAAAACAAAAAAACATTTTCATTGGTCCAAAGAAAATTACACACAGGCCCGCGAATTTCTTGACGTGTGTAAAGGGAAATATTTCGTACACATATTTAGCTTTAAAAAGGCATGTTTATGCACATCTAGAAACAATGTAAAATTCTTTTTTTAAATACTGGTCGTTTTCAGATTGTAAGAAACTTTTAGATTTATGATTAGTTTTACATAATAACAGTACATTGAAACTGAAATTTAAAAGATTTAATAACTTTATGAATTATTGTAATTAAAATTGAAAAAAGGAAAATATTTCTTGTAAAAATTCATTTTTTATCCGAACACTTTTTTTTTACTTCAGACAATATTATCTTTAACATTAACATATTATTCATAAAAGCAACCGAAAGCTTTTCTAATTCAATAATGTCTTAGTTTTATTGGGTTTTGTATTTTACAATTCACAGCTGATTTTCGGTAACTTGTCTTTTGACTTTAGGTTGTTTGTTTTTATTCTTCTTGTTTATCTTTTTTCTTTTATTTGTGTTTTTTTTTTAGTTTTTATTATGCTTTATCCTTCTATAATTTGTTGATCTTTTTTTTAATTATTTTTTAATATATTATTGATTTATACTCTTACTAGAAGGCTTCGCCCGCTCGCTATCGCTTCGGAAAGTAAGATGTATTCACTACTTGAAATATTTGAAACAAAACTTTTAGATGAATATTTCATTCATAAATTGGCTTGTTATAGTTAAGAGAAGTTTTACAAATAGATGCCAACTTGTTGAAGGCCAAGTAAAATGCAAATTTCAAACACTTTCCTGCACTACATAAGACAATATTCCTAAACAGAACTATTTTTGATAGGAAAATCAAAACAATCCTTGAATAAAAGAACTCTAATGAAGTTCAGTTAATTAATGAAATATACTTTTTAAAATCAATATGCAAATTAGTTAAACCTAAAGCGACTTCGTGGGGGGTCGAGTAAATACCAAATTACTATAAAGTACAGTTGGGGCTTTTTAACTCCAGAATTCGTTGGAGAATTGTGATCCAGTTTCGCATTTATTCATATAGATTCCATAATAAAGGTTCTACTTAATTAGCTATTATGTTTCTTTAACTCTTCAAATGTTGAATATATAACTAATTCTATTTTCCCATCTTTACACTATATTATTATCATGTCCCTTTTTCTGTCACCTATGAAATAAAAATAATTAAAAGTAAGGATCTACGTACATCAAATCGTCTTTAAATTAAGTGTCAGAACAATTATCGTTGAACTTTTAAAAGGTAAGCTTAAACATTAATTCAATACTTAAATGCAGCGATCAATTTTGAATTCTTCTTTAGTTTTTTGATGCCTCTCGCATGTACTCCTCCCTAGCTATTGTGATGATGGCCAAACTAAGAGTCTTCCACTGGAGCTAGCTCCAATGCCGTTCGATAGGGCGGCTTTTAAGGTAGTTTATAATAAAACGTGCACTGCAATTTTGGATACAAAAGGAAAATAACGATTACTTTCCTTGATCCATGAAAGCAACGATAATAGCTGGGGTAATATATTAATATATATTTTTAACCTTGCAAAATCTGGCAACCCTGAATCTGAGCTCAACGAAAATCGTTCCCTGCACCTAACTTTTGAATGAGCTATGACTCATTGTGATCGGACCAGTGGGAGAGGAGGAGTTGCTTGGACACACACACGTACAAACACACTGTACTTTATATATAAGATTATATTTTTATTTAGCTTTTCTTATAGAAAATGAGGACTAAATAATTTTACCCCCCCCGCTCGGACAAACTTTCTTTTACATATACAACGTTTTCATTGGTCCAAAGATAATTAAACATAGTCTCATGAAATTGTTTGTTTTTTTCACCGCCAATTTCTTTAGACTCAGAGTTTTTTTCTTTTAACTAAGTCAAGGAAATGCATTTTTCCTCTGATCGCCTGAATTTGAAAGGAAGCTACGAAAAAGACGTTTGTTCGGTCAAATGAACATACATAAAGACACAATTTTTCTTTTATATATATAGATTACAGTTGTGTTTATATATACTGAAATGTAATGGTTAACAAGCTAGATTTGCTTTTTTTATAATAAATTTCACCCAATACAACGCTCGAGAGACACTCAAGTTACAGAGTTACTGCTAAAATTGTTATGATTGTAGGAAGTGAATAAATATGAGTATATGGAGGATAGATAACAAGTGACTTTTGACTTGAAGAGGCCATGATTAAATTATTCATTTAAGCACCCACGAGGGAGTTGGTCTACAAAAGGAGTTCTTGAGAAAAAGTTGTGTGAAACTTTCTACTTACATTTGGAACACAGAGGAAATGAGTGTGATTCGACTCCGTGGAAGTGGCACGCCATATCCTAGCTGCAAATGCTTATACTGGTAGAACTAAAGATGGAGTGGAAATAGCAATAGGCTTGCGACGTTGTGTCTGTGGGAAAAGAGGCTTCAGAGTGGAGAATAAGTCTGTAGAGGAAAAAGTGTGTGAAATGTATCGTGCAAAAATCTACAATTGAAATCTGTGAAATTTTAAGAATTCAGTATTGCTTACAATCCCACAGTCGAATTATACTAAATTCTTACTTATTAATTTACGTTACGGTATTTATAAAAAAAATTATTAAAAAAATAAATTATTATTAAAAACTCGCATCACAGGATATTAAAAGTTAGATTTAGTAATCTCAGAGATTAATAAATGTATTTTCCATTTTTTAATTTCGATTTTTAGGAGGGAAAAGATTGTTAATAATTTTCTGGCTGTGAGCCTTCAATATTTTGTAGCAAACAGTAAGAATGTCGTCTGCTTTTTGAAAGCTTGAATGGCGTTTGAGATAACATCACTAATTGATTAATAGATGCTAATGAGGGAATTTGAATTTGAAGTTTGTGTCAGTCTCTTTTTACACAGAATTGAGGTGATGTTGTGTGATTCAACTTTTACACAGAATTGAGATTTTACTGATACTACTTAAATCTATTTTATTCTACAATTTTTAACTCGATTCTACAAATATTCGCCCGCCCCCGGATCGATATACGTATATTGAAATGGTAAATGTAGAAAAATATCCACTAAATGAAACTTAATACAATGTACAAAATAATAAATAAAGACATAGTTCTTGAATTTTATATCTGTAATTTTCTTTTTTATATCTAGAAAAAAAAGTAGTGTCTGTAATTATATTAATGTTATTTGTGTATTATACGTAGATGCGTGGACTAATTCGCTGAAAAAAGAGCATACCATGATTAAAAAAGACGTTAAACTTGATAAATACAATGATTTATCGTCAAAATGTTTAAGCTATTATTAAGAGGAAAGGCCAAAATATTTTTGATTATCTTATTTAATTTTTTAATCTTTTCTAGCACGTTCGAAATTTTGGTTAAAAATCTTGCTTTTTTTGCCTCTACGGAGATAGTGGTGGGGGCAAAGATTAGTATAGGAATTTTTAGCGTCTTTTCTGCGCCCCCCACTCCCCAAAAAACAAAAAAAACATCATTGATTTGAAAATTCTTGCAAAAATCAAATAATTGTCGGATTTTAATGAAACTGTCAGGAATTATTCACAAATGAATGAAATTATTTAAAAAGATTTTTTTTTTAGAAAATCTTGGTAAAATATTTTATTCTTACTTATCTTACCCCACCTCCCTTATTAATTTTACGAAATTTTCAGAAATTAAATTTCACCCCACTTCATATAAAAGAAGGACTTATTGAAGAATTTAAATCATCAATTTTTTTTTGTAAAACAGAAATAAAATTTACTGAAAATCTGATCTAAATCGTAAAATAAAAAAAATGAAATAAAACTTAAACATTATTTAATTAAAGAAGTATAAGAAGTAAATAAGATATATTAAGGACAATATTGTCTTAAAAAAGTCGATGAATAATGAATTTTTACAAGAATTATTCTCATTTGTTTTTAAATTTTAATTAGAATAATTTATTAAGTCTTTTAAAATTCTAAATTAATTTTACCCTTTTAGATGATATTATTAAGTAAAATCTATATTTATTAATCATAAATGGAAAAGCTTAGTACATTTCCCCAAACACCAATATTTTTAAAAGAATTTTGAATTTTTTTTTGCATGTGTATAAACGTAAGAACGTTTGTTGATCTGGAAGTTTATACACGGCATTATCAGACAAATAAGAAAATAATAACTATAGTAAAAGTCAAGTAAAAATAAAAGTCAAGTAATAATAAAGTAATAATAATAACTATAGTAAAAGTCAAGTAAAAATAAAAGTCAAGTAATAATAAAGTAATAATAATAACTATAGTAAAAGTAAAAAAAAATAATAAAAGTCAAGTAATAATAAAAGTAAAAAATAAAAGTAATAATAATAACTATAGTAAAAGTCAAGTAATAATAAAAAGTAAAGTAATAATAAAGTAATAATAATAACTATAATAAAAATAAAAAAAGTAAAAGTAATAATAAAAGTAATAATAATAACTATAGTAAAAGTCAAGTAATAATAAAAAAGTAAAAGTAATAATAAAGTAATAATAATAACTATAGTAAAAGTTAAGTAAAAATAATAACTATAGTAAAATTAAAGTAAAAATATTCAAAAACATTACATTACGGAGAATATTTTCCTACATTTCATTAATTACTTAATATATATATATATATATATATATATATATATATATATATATATATATATATATATATATATATATATAAGCGCTCACGTTATATTCAATTATTTATTACGGATAAAGTTCTTGCAGATAAAAGTTACATTAGATAAGCATAAGTTTGTTATCAAGTTTAATAAGAACAGATCAAATAAATACCTACTGCTGTGTTAAAAATGCATTTCTGCGATATTTTAAACTTAACAGTATAGTAGGGTCAATTCGACACCATCTATGAGAAAAAGAGCACCATGACGCAATTAACACCGTCAGGAATTTGGAAATGGCACGCTGTACTGCTTGGCATTGGCGCCAGAAGCTCCAATACGAACATTTCAGGGTGTTGGGGTGTAAGTGTGAAGACAGTGCAGAGGACTCGGAAAGAGTTGGATGAGTCTAATGATGATTACGAAGGTACGACAGCTCGGAAAACTCAGTCTGATCATTCTGATAAGAAAAGAAGTCCCGAATTTGTTGGTGAGGGTCTCAGACTCAACACGGAGGCCTACACTAAGTGTCTTGAGGAGGTGGTAGTACCGCCCTGAGTCAAGGGAGTGACTGCTGGGAGACACTATGTCTGAAAATAGGAGACTGCATCATGCCGCACAAGCAGGAGAACCCAATGATGACTGTCAGAAAACTACAGCGACCACATCATCCTTTAAATCTAGACACCTAACTCCTCAGATTGCACCCCCCCTTGATTATTATGTGTGGGGCGCAGTTGAGCGAGAGACCAACAAATCTTCTTATAACACCAAATATGAACTGAAGGCAATGATTATAGCAGCATTCACCAACTTGAAACAAGGAGACCATCCAGAAGAGATGCAGGAGATTCCGAAGTCGTCTGGAGGCCGTGGTTGAAGCTAATGGCGATTTTATTGAATGAATTTACTCTTTAATATTTCAAGATATTTTTGTGTAATTTTCGTAAATATATCTGTTAAAATGAGATATCAGCGTTATTTTCATTTTGCCTAATTTAGACGACAATTTATCAATCGCACCCTGTATAATAGGCGACCATATATTGAATGACCAAATGAGGCAATCGTCGTTACTCGCTGATTTGATCGTTTAAGTCTTTCTTTGGGACAAAGGAACAAGCTTGAATTCATTTATGTTTATTAACAGTATTTTTAGTGATAAAAAACGCAGATGTTTCGATGCAGTGAATACTCGATTTTTGCCGGGTTTTGTACTATTTCGCTGACGGAAACCTGGTTGGGATCGAAGATCATTCATCATGGAATCAATTTTTGAACATAGTTCCAAAACTTTTGATTCTATTTCCCTGAGGTCATTTTTTATTGCGATCAAATGGCAGACAATGTATAGTTTTATGCTGTAAAACATCATACTCTCTTTCCGCTGGCTCACGACCACATCACGTTGAAACTCCGATTCTCGTACAATCGCCCAAGTTAAACAACATCAAGCCTGGTTAGTACCTAGGTGGGTGACCGCTTGGGAATATCAGGTTCTGTAACCTTGGAATTGCGCGTGGTTTTAATGGACGAACGCTCGGAATTATTAATCGGAGAGCCAAGTGGCAATTCCAATCGGGTTCGTAACATTCACTTACGCGCAAATACCCTTGCGAAAGGCATGGATCCATCTTTTCTCTGCCAGCTATGGGTTTGCTGTGCGTGGATAAATAATATTGACTTAATTTACAAAGTGAATGGATATACGACAACATAAAATAAAGTTTAAATGAAACACAAAAGTCTTTGTACAAAAAACATCTGAATATATAAATATATCAATATTTGGTATGTTTAATACAAACTAGGCATGCTTTTACTTACAACTGCTTGTGTACCAAAAGAACAATGTCTAATTTTTTGTACTTATCTTTGTAGACTCTTCACGATCCCGAAAAACGCCCGCCCGTTTAGCTTGCTGGTCGTAGCTGAAAAAAGCTGTTTATTTTGCGCGACTAACGATGTCTCGTGCAGTTCTCGTCAGATCACGTGACTGTTTTCTTTTTAATTCTCGTGATTATATTTAATTAGATTTTTATTTAGTCAAGGGGAGATAACATTTTTGTCTCTCACAACAGGTTAACTAGTATGAGTTGTATCCTTAAATCATTATTATCTCGCCACTCCCCCAAATTCTTGTGATCTAAAAATATTTTCTGGCTTTAAATAACCTGGAAAGGGTTGGTAAGCCATAAAAACGAATCAACCTAAATCTTATACTTCTGTTCCCAATGTGTCTTTCCCCAGTTTTAGCTTCTCGCCACTCTTTCATCCCCCTCTCTCTTCTCTGTATTACCTTCACGTTTATCTCTTCTCCTTATTTTAATTTTTCTCTCTTCTCTCTCTTCTATGTAAAATCCTCACTTTTCTCCTCTCCTCTATATTATCTTCACTTTTCTCTCTTCTCCCTTCTCTGTATCATCTTCACTTTTCGCTCTATTCTTTTTATTATCTGCACATTTGGCTCTCGTCACTGTATTATCATAATTTTCACTCTTCTTGCACTTTTCTCTCTTCTCTCTTCTCTGTATTGTCTTTTCTCTTTTCTCTCTCTTCTTTATCTACACTTTTCTCGCTTCTCTGTATTATCTTATATTTTTCTCTCTTCTCTGTTTCTCCCTCTTCCTTGTATTATCTTCACTTTTCTCTCTTCTCTCTTCTGTATTGTCTTCATTTTTCTCTCTTCTCTCCTCTCCTCTATATTATCTTCACTTTTCTCTCTTCTCTCTCTTTTCTGTATTATCTTCATTTTTCTCTCTTCTCTCACCTCTCTATATTATCTTCACTTTTCTCTCTTCTCTCTCTTTTCTGTATTATCTTCATTTTTCTCTCTTCTCTCTCTCTATCTTCATTTTTCTCTCTTCTCTCTCCTCTCTGTATTATCTTCCATTTTTCTCTCTTCTCTCTTTTTTGTTCATTTCTCTTCTCTTTTTCTCTTATCTTCTCTCTCTCTCCTCTATATTATCTTCACTTTTCTCTCTTCTCTCTCTTTTCTATTCTCTCTTTTCTCTTTCTCTCTCTCTTCTCATTTTCTCTCTTCTCTCTCTTTTCTATATTATCTTCATTTTTCTCTTTCTCTCTTCTTTTCTCTCTTTTCTCTGTATTGTCTTCATTTTTCTCTCTTCTCTCTCTCTCCTCTGTATTATCTTCATTTTTCTCTCTTCTCTCTCTTTTCTGTATTGTCTTCATTTTTCTCTTCTCTCACCTCTCTATATTATCTTCCTTTTCTCTCTTCTCTCTCTTTTTCTGTATTGTCTTCATTTTCTCTCTTCTCTCACCTCTCTGTATTATCTTCACTTTTCTCTCTTCTCTCTCTTTTCTGTATTGTCTTCATTTTCTCTCTTCTCTCTCTCTCTGTATCTCTCTTCTCTTTTCTCTCTTCTCTCTCTTTTTCTGTATTTCTTCATTTTTCTCTTCTCTCTCCTCTCTGTATTATCTTCACTTTTCTCTCTTCTCTCTCTTTTTTCTGTATTGTCTTCATTTTCTCTCTCTTCTCTCACCTCTCTCTCTCTTTTCTGTAATCTTCTTTTCTCTTCTCTCTCTCTGTATTCTTCATTTTCTCTCTTTCTCTCTGTATTGTCTTCTTCTATTTTCTCTCTTCTCTCTCTCTCTTTCTGTATTGTCTTCATTTTCTCTCTTCTCTCTCTCTTTCTTCACTTTTCTCTTCTCTTTTTTTTATTTTCTCTTCATTTCTCTCTTCTCTCTCTCTTTCTGTATTATCTTCATTTTTCTCTCTTCTCTCTCTCTTTTCTTTTCTTGTCTTCATTTTCTCTCTCTTCTCTCTTCTCTCTGTATTTCTTCTCTTTTTTTCTCTCTATCTCTCTTCTCTCTCTCTCTATTATCTCTCTCTCCTCTCTCTTATTATCTTCATTTTCTCTCTTCTCTTTCTCTTTATTGTCTTCTTTTTCTCTCTCTCTCCTCTCTGTATTATCTTCATTTTCTCTTCTCTCTCTTTTCTGTATTATCTTCATTTTCTCTCTTCTCTCACCTCTCTATATTATCTTCTCTTTTCTCTCTTTTCTCTCTCTTTTCTGTATTGTCTTCATTTTTCTCTCTTCTCTCTTCCTCTCTCTCTTTCTTATCTTCACTTTTCTCTCTTCTCTCTCTTTTCTGTATTTCCTTCTTCATTTTCTCTCTCTTCTCTCCTCTCTCTCTGTATTATCTTCACTTTTCTCTCTCTTTTCTCTTCTCTTTTTCTGTATTGTCTTCATTTTCTCTCTTCTCTCTCCTCTCTGTATTATCTTCTTCTTTTCTCTCTTCTCTCTCTTTTCTGTATTGTCTTCATTTTCTCTCTTCTCTCCTCTCTCTATATTATCTTCTTTTCTCTCTTCTCTCTCTTTCTGTATTGTCTTCATTTTCTCTCTTCTCTCACCTCTCTATATTATCTTCACTTTTCTCTTCTCTCTCTTTCTGTATTTTCTTCTTCTTTTTTTCTCTCTTCTCTCTCTTTTCTGTATTATCCTCTTTTTCTCTCTTCTTATCTTCTTTTTTTCTCTCTTCTCTCTCTTTTCTGTATTTTCTTCATTTTTTCTCTTCTCTCTCTTTTCTCTCTTCTCTCTTTTTCTGTATTATCTTCACTTTTCTCTCTTCTCTCTCTTTTCTTCACTATTGTCTTCATTTTTCTCTCTTCTCTCACCTCTCTGTATTATCTTCACTTTTCTCTCTTCTCTCTCTTTTCTGTATTGTCTTCATTTTTCTCTCTTCTCTCACCTCTCTGTATTATCTTCACTTTTCTCTCTTCTCTCTCTTTTCTGTATTGTCTTCATTTTCTCTCTTCTCTCCTCTCCTCTATATTATCTTCACTTTTCTCTCTTCTCTCTCTTTTCTGTTTGTCTTCATTTTCTCTCTTCTCTTCTCTCTCTTCTTTTCTCTCTTCTCTCTCTTTTCTGTATTATCTTCATTTTTCTCTTCTCTCTCCTCTCTCTATATTTCTTCACTTTTCTCTCTCTCTCTTTTCTCTCTTCTCTCTTCTCTCTCTGTATTATCTTCATCTTCTCTTTTCTCTCTTCTCTCTCTTTTCTGTTTTTCTTCTCTTCATTTTCTCTCTCTTCTCTCCTCTCTCTCTGTATTATCTTCACTTTTCTCTCTTCTCTCTCTTTATTATCTGTTTTGTCTTTCATCTTTTTCTCCCCTCTCTCTCTTTTCTCTCTCTCTCTCTTTTTATCTTCTTTTCTCTTCTCTCTTTTTCTTCACTTTTCTCTCTTCTCTCTCTTTTCTATCTTCATTTTCTTCTTCTCTCTCTTTTCTGTATTGTCTTCTTTTTCTCTCTTCTCTCTCCTCTCTGTATTATCTTCACTTTTCTCTCTTCTCTCTCTCTTTTTCCTATTGTTATCTTCTTTTCTCTCTCTCTCTTCCTCTCTCTCTCTCTTTTTCTGTATTGTCTTCATTTTCTTTTCTCTCTCTCTGTATTATCTTCACTTTTCTCTCTTCTCTTTTCTGTATTGTCTTCATTTTTCTCTTCTCTCCTCTCCTCTATATTATTTTCTTCTTCTTTTCTCTCTTCTCTCTCTTTTCTGTATTGTCTTCATTTTTCTCTCTTCTCTCCTCTCCTCTATATTATCTTCACTTTTCTCTCTTCTCTCTCTTTTCTGTATTGTCTTCATTTTTCTCTCTTCTCTCACCTCTCTGTATTATCTTCACTTTTCTCTCTTCTCTCTCTTTTCTGTATTGTCTTCATTTTTTCTCTCTCTCCTCTCTCCTCTCCTCTATTTTCTTCTCTTTTCTCTCTTCTCTCTCTTTTCTGTATTGTCTTCATTTTTCTCTCTTCTCTCCTCTTTTCTCTCTATATTATCTTCATTTTCTCTCTTCTCTCTCTTTTTTCTGTATTGTCTTCATTTTCTCTCTTCTCTCTCTCTCTCTTCCTTTTCTCTCTCTCTCTCTTTTTTTCTCTCTTTTCTCTCTTCTCTCTCTTTTCTGTATTGTCTTCATTTTCTCTCTCTCTCTCCTCTCCTCTATATTATCTTCACTTTTCTCTTTCTCTCTCTTTTCTGTATTGTCTTCATTTTCTCTCTCTCTCTCTCCTCTCTGTATTATCTTCACTTTTCTCTCTTCTCTCTCTTTCTTGTCTTCATTTTCTCTCTTCTCTCCCCTCTCTCTCTTTTCTCTCTTCTGTATTGTCTTTTTTTTCTCTTCTCACCTCTCTCTTTTCTGTATTTCATTTTTCTTCTCTCTTTCTCTCTCTTCTCTCTCTTTTTTTCTGTATTGTCTTCATTTTCTCTCTTCTCTCTCTCTCTCCTCTCTCTTCTCTCTATTTCTTCACTTTTTCTCTCTTCTCTCTCTTTTCTTCACTTTTCTCTTCTCTTTTTTCTCTTCTTTTCTCTCTCTCTCCTCTCTTATTATCTTCTTTTCTCTCTTCTCTCTCTTTTTCTGTTCCATTTTCTTCTTTTTTCTCTTCTCTTTTCTCTCTCTCTCTCTTTATCTTCATTTTTCTCTCTTCTCTCTCTTTTCTGTATTTTTCTCTCTTCTCTTCTTTTATCTCTCTTCTCTCTGTATTGTCTTCAT